CCCCCAGAACCCCCCAGGGACCCCTCAGCACACAAAGATCCCCCAGAGCACCCCAGGGACCTCCCAGACACCTTCAGGGACCACCCCAGAGCACCCCAAGGACTCCCCTGAACCTCCCTAGGGACCCCTCAGTACACAAGTGACCCCCAGAGCACCCCAGGGACTCCTCGGTTGTGGAGACCCCAGAACTCCCCCAGGACCCCCAGTACACAAAGAGCCCCCCACAGACTCATGGGGATCCCCCAGGACCCCCTAGCACCCCAGGGACCCCCTAAGACCCCCTCAAATGACCTTGTGGTCGCCATCGCCATGGAGATCAACCAGGGCTGGGGACAGGAGGTCAGGACCCAGGGTTGGGACCCCCTCAGGGACCCCAAACCCTCCCCCACTCTGTGAACCACCCCACGCTGCCCCCCACACAGAGACCCCCTAAACCTTCCCCCATCTCACTCTGGGACCCCCAAATCCCCCAAATCCTCCCCCACCTCACTCAGGACCCCCAACTCCCCCAGGAACCCCCCAAATCCTCTCCCCCATCTCACCCAGGGACCCTCAAAGCCCCCAGCCCCCAGACCTCCCCAAATCCTCCCCCACCTCAGCCAGGGACCCTCAAAGCCCCCTAAGACCCCCCAGATCTTCCCCCACCTCACCCAGGGACCCCCAAGACCCCCAAATCCTCACCCACGGATCCCCAAGACCCCCAACTCCTCTCCCACCTCACCCAGGGACCCTGAAAGCCCCCCAAGACCCCAGATCTTCCCCCACCTCACCCAGGGACCCTCAAATCCCCCAAAATCCTTCCCCTAACCTCACCCAGGGACCCCAAATCCCCAAGACCCCCAGATCTTCCCCTATCTCACCCAGGGACCCCCAAATCCCCTCCAGGAGCCTCCCAATTCCCCCTACCCCCAGACCCCCTCAGATCCTCCCCCCCCTCACCCAGGGACCCCCAATCCCCCAAATCCTCCCCCACCTCACCCAGGGACCCCAAGCCCCCAGATCCTCCCCTCACCTCACCCAGGGACCCCAAATCTCCCCAGGACCCCCAAATCCCTCCACCCCTCAGACCTCCTCAGATCCTCCCCCCTCACCCAGGGAGGACCCCCAATCCTCCCAAATCCTTCCCACCTCACCCAGGGACCTCAAGACCCCCAACTCCCCCCACCTCACCCAGGGACCCCCAAATCCCTCCAGGAACCCCCAATTCCCCCACCCCCCAGACCCCTCAAATCCTCCCCACCTCACCTAGAGTCCCTCAAGACACCCCAACTCCCCTCCCACCTCACCCAGGGACCCCAAAGCCCCCAAATCCTCCCCCACCTCACCCAGGGACCCCCAAATCCCCCAAATCCTCCCTACCTCACCCAGGGACCCCAAGGCCCCCTCAATACCCCCCAAATCCTCCCCCAAGACCCTCCAAATCTCCCCTCACCCAGGGACCCCAAATCCCCCAAGACCCCCAGATCCCCCTCCTCACCCAGAGACCCTCAAATCCCCCCAAGACCCTCAGATCTTTCCCCACCTCACCCAGGGACCCCCAAATCCCCTCCAGGAACCCCCCAACTCCCCCTCCTCACCCAGACCCTCAGATCCTCCCCCTCACCCAGGGACCCCCAAGACCCTCCCAAATCCTCCCCCCACCTCACCCAGGGACCCTCAGAGCCCCCAATTCCCTCCAACCTCACCCACAGACCCCAAATCCCCCCAAATCCTCCCCACCTCACCCAGGGACCCCTAAATCCCCCCAAATCCTCCCCCACTCACCCAGGGACCCCCAATTCCCCCAAATCCTCCCCTACCTCACTCAGAGACCCCAAATCCCCCAACCCCCAGATCTTCCCCCCTCACCCAGGGACCCCCAAAGCCCCCTCACTACCCCCAAATCCTATCCCAAGACCCTCCAAATCCCCCACCTCACCCACGGACCCCCAACCCCTCCCCTCAAATCCCCCCCACCTCACCCACGGATCCCCAAATCCCCCAAGACCCCCAACTCCCCTCCTCACCCAGATACCCTCAAAGCCCCCAAGACCCTCAGTCTCCCCCAAAGCCCCCCAAATCCCCCTCACCCATACACCCTGGCAGGGTTCGCAGCCCGGCCAGGGGGTCCTCGTGCGCCTCCAGCCACAACGACGCGCTGCGGGACAGCCCGGGGGTCACGCGGGGGGTCGATCCTCCGCGGAGACCCCAAAACCTCCAAAACCCCCAAAAACACCCCTCCCCTCCCCACCTCTCCTGAGCCGCCGCCATCGCGTTGCCACGGCAACGGCGGGATTAGCCCCGCGCCGGCGCGACGTGACGTCAGCGCGCAACCCCCTTACGAACCAATCAGCACCCGGCTTTCGTGAAAGCCACGCCCCCTCTCGTTCCGCTGCTCCGCCATCTTTGTAGTTCCGAGGCTCTTTCCCCCTCCCGGCGTCGGTTACGCAGCCTGCGCGGTGACGTCATCGCGCCGCGAGGAGCCCCGCCCCTTTTCCGCCTGAGACGCCGCAGTGAGGCCGCGTTTGGGAGGGGAAATTTGGGGATTTGGGGTTTTTGGGGTTTAGGGGCTGAGGGGTTTGAAGGGTCAGGGGAGTGCTGGGAGGGCTGGGAAGGGTGAGGGGGTTTGAGGTGAGGGGGCGGTGAGGGGCCTGAGGGTTTTGGGGGAGGGGATTTGGGGGAGGGGAAATTTGGGGATTTTGGGGGTCAGGAGGTTGTGAGACTTGGGGGATTTGGGGGCTGAGGGGTTTTTAGGGGGTCGAGGCGGTGTTTGGGGGATCTGTGAGAGGTTGGGGTTTTTTGGGGGCTTTGAGGGTCCTGGGGTTTTTGGGGGTTCTTTGAGGGGCGTTTGGGAGGGTTGGTTTTTGGGGGTCTTTGAGCCTCAGGGAAGATTTTGGGGCCTCAAAAGCACCCTCAAGGTTTGGGGGAAAGACCCAACCCCTGAGGACCCTCCTTGAATTTTGGGGTGAAGACCCCCGTGACCCCCCAAATCCCTCCCCAGCCCCCACCATGCAGCTCTTCGTGCGTGCCCAGACCCTGCTGACCCTCCAGGTCTCTGGATCCGAGACCCTCGCCCAGCTCAAGGTGAACCCCTCTCCCCCATCCCCAATTTTTGGGGTCTCCCTCCCAACCCCTCTCACCCCCAAATTTTGGGGTGCTGACCCCCCCCCAATTTTGGGGTTCTGACACCCCCAAATTTTGGGGCGATGAGCACTCTGTTTTTGGGGTGCTGACCCCCTGATTTTCAAAATGCTGACCCCCCAAATTTTAGGGTGCTGACCCCCAATTTTTGGGGGGTTGACTCCTCAATTTTTGGGGGGCTGACCCCTCAATTTTTGGGGGGTTGCTCCCCCTAGTTTTGGGGACCTTCCCCTCTCATTTCTGGGGTCCTTCACCTCCCATTTTTGGGGCCTTCCTCTCCCATTTTCAGGGTGCAGCCCCCCAATTTCTGAGGTTTAGCCCTCCCATTTTCAGGGTTTAGTCCCCCATTTTGGGGTGCTGATCCTCCATTTTTAGGGTGCTGATCCCCCATTTTTGGGGTGCAGCCCCTCCATTTTTAGGGTGCAGCTCCCCCATTTTCAGGGTTTAGTCCTCTGCTTTTGGGGGTGCTGCCCCCCCATATTTGGGGTGCAGCCCCCCCATTTTTGGGGGCCTTCCCCTCCCATTTTCAGGGTGCAGTCTCCCCCCATTTTTGGGGGTGCTGCCCCCCCATTTTTAGGGTGCTGCCCCCCCATTTTTGGGGTGCTGACCCCCCCGTTTCCCCCCCCAGGAGAAGGTGGTGGAGCTGTCGGGGGTGTCCCCCCATTTTTGGGGGTGCTGCCCCCCCATTTTTAGGGTGCTGCTCTCCATTTTTGGGGTGCTGACTCCCGTTTCCCCCAGGAGAAGGTGGCGGAGCTGTCGGGGGTGTCCCCCCATTTTTGGGGTGCTGACCCCCCATTTTTGGGGTGCTGATCCCCCATTTTTGGGAGTGCTGATCCCCCATTTTGGGGGTGTTACCCCCCCATTTTTGGGGTGCTGACCCTCTCATTTTTGGGGGTGCTGCCCCCCCGTTTTTGGGGTGCTGACCCCTCATTTTTGGGGGTGCTGCCCCCCCGTTTTTGGGGTGCTGACCCCCCCGTTTCCCCCCCCAGGAGAAGGTGGCGGAGCTGTCGGGGGTGCCCCCCCAGGAGCAGGTGCTGCTCTGGGAGGGGACCCCCCTGGAGGATGGGACGGTGCTGGGGCAGAGCCCCCTCCCCGAATTGGCCACCCTGGAGCTCTCCACGCGCCTGCTGGGGGGTAATTAACACCCCCCCTTAATTAACATCCCCCTAATTAACACATAGACCTCCCCCAAACCCACTCTAATTGTTCTCTCCTCCCAGGGAAGGTTCACGGATCCCTCGCCCGCGCTGGCAAAGTGAGGGGCCAGACCCCCAAGGTGAGACTCCCCACCCCATGGGGGTTTGGGGACCCCCGGCATCCCCTCCTGCCCCAGTGCCCACTGGGGCCACATCCCAGTGCCCACCAGTGCCCACCAGTGACCCAGTGCCATCCCAGTGCCATCCCAGTGCCCCCCATACCCGCTGTGCCCATTAGTGTCCATCCCAGTGCCTCCCAGTGACCCCAGTGTCCATCCCAGTGCCCATCCCAGTGTCCATCCCAGTGCACCCCATACCCGCTGTGCCCATCAGTGTCCATCCCAGTGTCTATCTCAGTGCCCAGCAGTGACCTCAGTGCCATCCCAGTATCCACCCCAGTGCCTAGCAGTGACCCCAGTGTCCATCCCAGTGCCCCCCAGTGACCCCAGTGCTATCCCAGTGTCCATCCCACTGACCCAGTGCTCCCCAGTGACCTCAGTGCTCATCCCAATGCCCAGCCCACTGACCCCAGTGCTATCCCAGTGCCCATTCCAGTGTCCATCCCAGTGATCCCAGTACCATCCCAGTGCCCCCGTGACCCCAGTGCTATCCCAGTGTCCATCCCAGTGCCCCCCATACCCCCAGTGACCCCAGGGCCCATCCCAGTGTCCATCTCAGCGCCCATCCCAGTGCCCACCAGTGCCCTCCAGTGACCCCAGTGCCCATCCCAGTGCCCACCAGTGACCGACCCCAGTGGCCCCCAATGCTATCCCAGTGTCCATCCCAGTGCCCATCCCAGTGCCCCTCATACCCCCAGTGCCCCCCAGTGCCCATCCCAGTAACCCTCCCGTGTATCCCATACCCATCCCCGTGCCCCCAGTGCCCATCCCAGTGCCCCCCATACCCCCTGTGCCCATCCCAGTACCCCCTGTGCCCATCCCAGTGCCCCCATCCCAGTGCCCCCCATATGCTCTGTGCCCATCCCAGTGCCCCCCAGTGTCCATCCCAGTGCCCCCCATATGCTCTGTGCCCATCCCAGTGCCCCTTTCCCCCCGCTGTGCCCCTTTGGGCCCCCTCCCCAACCATTTTTTTTTGGGGGGGTGTTTTAGGTGGCCAAGCAGGAGAAGAAGAAGAAGAAGACAGGCGGCCAAGCGGCATGCAGTACAACCGGCGCTTCGTCAACGTGGTGCCCACCTTCGGCAAGAAGAAGGGCCCTAATGCCAACTCCTGAGCATAATAAAGCAAATTTTGGGTTGATTCCCCTCATTTTAGTGTTTTGGGGTCTTTGATTTGGGTTTTTTGGGGTTTTTTGAGGGGGTTTTTGGGGGGTCGGGGGTGTTGTAGAACCGGCACTTCGTCAACGTGGTGCCCACCTTCGGCAAGAAGAAGGGCCCCAACGCCAACTCCTGAGCCCAATAAAGTGAATTTTGGGTTCATTCCCCTCATTTTGGTGTTTTTGGTTTTTGAGGGCTTGTGGGGTTCAGGGGGGGTGCAGTACAACCGGTGCTTCGTCAACTTCATGCCCACCTTGGGCAAGAAGAAGGGCCTCAACGCCAACTCCTGAGCCCAATAAAGTGAATTTTGGGTTCATTCCCCTCATTTTGGTGTTTGGGGTCTTTAATTTGTGGTTTTTGGGTTTTTTTGGGGGGTTTGGGGGTTTTGGGAGCCTCAGGGATACGGTACAAGTGGCGTTTCGTCAACGTCGTGCCCACCTTGGGCAAGAAGAAGGGCCCTGATGCCAACTCCTGATCCAAATAAAGCCAATTTGGGGTTCATTCCCCTCATTTTGGGGTTTTTGGGGGGTTTTGGGGTTTTTTGGGGGGTCAGGGGTGTGCAGCACAACCGGCGCTTCGTCAACGTCGTGTCCACCTTCAGCAAGAAGAAGGGCCCCAACACCAACTCCTGAGCCAAATAAAGCCAATTCGGAGCCGATTCCCTCCATTTCCCTATTTTTCTTGTTTTTTTGGGAGGGGAGTTGGGTTTTTTGGGCACACTCACCTCAACCCCGCGTTTCGTCAGCGTCGCACCCCCCTTCAGCAAGAAAAAGGGTCCCGATGCCCAAACCCCCCATTACCCCCCCAAAACCCCCCGAATTAACCCCTAAAACGCCCCCCAAATCCCCCCTAATTCCCCCTCACGACTCACCCGCCAGGGGGCGCCCTCCGCGCTCCTTTTCCCGCCCTTTTCGTGTTTCCCGCCCTTTTCCGCCCTAAGCCCCGCCCCTCCTTCCCGGCGTGCCCCGCGCGCTATTTAGTGCGTGAGGCGCCCCCGCGGCCATTTTGTCTCTGAGGCGGGCGCGGGAGGTGAGTCTGGGATCGGTTCCTGCGGACCCTTCTGGGGCTCTGAGAGGCCTCTGAGGGATCTCTGAGGGCATGAGGAGGCTTCTGCAGCCGCTTTCCCTCCCCGGGCGGGCGAGGAGCGCCCGGCAGCGCCGATCGCCTCAGAGCGCCGCCATTTTAGAGCGCCCGCCCTGAGGGGCTCCTGTGAGGCCGGCGCTTCCCTGAGGGGCTTTCTGGGGCTTCTCGGGGCTCTGAGGGGCGGCCGGGCCATGGGGGCTGCTCGGGGATGAGTCTCTCACAGACCTGTGCTGAGCACGCGCTGAAGAGTTTTGAGTTCTCTGAGGGCTCGTCCCGCCCCGGCCTGAGGTTCTAGTGCTTGATATTTAGTTTATTTGTGTTTTTAACGCTTTCTTTTCTGCTTCGTTTTCAGGTTTTGAGGTTGTAGGATGGCGTCTTTGCGAGAGGTGAGCTTTAAACCTGCTTTTTAGTGTGTAAAAAGGTTGGACTTGGGTGAAAAAGGGCAGCAGTGCTGCGGGGATGATCCACTGAACTCTCTCTTGCTGATGGTCTCAGGAGAAGCTCCTGAACACGCTCTGAGTGGCACTGACACGGAGTGGGGGTTTTAAAGCCCGGAGGGGATTTAAACCATCGAGGGGG